CACACACACACACACACACACACACACACACACACACACACACACACTCATACACACGCACATACTCACACACACTCACTCACACCACGATCAGCAGTAAGCTCTCGTGAGACATCCTGTGTATTTCGAATTAATATATACAGTAATAATTGTGTGTATAAAAATGTAAAAATGTATATATGTTAGGTACCTTACTTGTACGGCATACGTGTGTATCAATTCCAACAATACTTTTCTTCTCGAACTACTAGAACGGAACGTGCAACGCGTGTATAATAACTTATTTAGGTGCTGCAACACGTATCCATACGATTGTATACCAATAGTTTACCGCCGCACGATGTGTCATCGGTGTCACTGTATAATATATTTATTTATACTATATCACGGTAAAAAAAAAAAAAAAAAACAATTTAAAAAATGTATTCTTCTATTACTTACTGTTGCGGACAAACCTATGCCGATTTCATATTATATACTCTTCTTTGGACGTTTTCACGCGCGCTAGAGAAATCGTTACATATCTATATGATTTGTGCATAACACTATGTTTTTTATGCGCGTACCTGAATTTCCGAAGACTTGTGCGGAGGGATCGCGCGCGATATTTCGTCCGCGAGACGTCGGTTTTCGTTGAAAGCCAAACACGTAACAACCAAATATTGTGCCAGGTGCGAAACATCAAAATGCGCATTTGTGTATTTTTAATTAAAAAATATTATAATAGTTAGTTATTATTTCCAACAATTGCTTCAATTAATATAAAGGATGTTGAAGTTTTTTGTCAATAATATATACAACATTGACTGTTGACATTTTTAACATAAAATGCAAAATTTTCATTTTTGTGCCTTCCAAAAATTACGCCCAGGGCTAATAGGAACTTCCGGTACTTGCCCTTGCTATGGCTGGCACGTAGCCAGAAGGGCGGACTGAGAGGGCTATACCCCCCTTAAAATTTCTCTGCCCCACAACCGACCACCCAAATTCATGTACAATTTTTTTTTATTTACTAATTATTAAAGACATGCTAGGTTAGGTAAGGTTAATAATAATAATTTAATAATAATAATAATAATTAATAATAATAGCTTACGCACATTAAATAAATCTATTGTGATAAGTTATCACAGAAAGGAAGTTTATTCGGAACTTGTTTATAAATACTATGAAAATAGCGCAATAAATCGTAAATTAATTTCCTACGAACCTAGAAAAAACAATAAGGAATTAAAATGTATTTCATATTTTCGTTCTCATGGACTTTCATAGCCGCAATAGGGTTGAAACTACTTTGATCACACATGTTTTTTTTCTTCACAAAAACAAGCTTTTTAATAGAACCAACAATGTGTGTACGCGTTGATTACGGTGTACATCGTTATTACGCTGTACAACCAAGACGATATATAATACGTACATAATTATACCCTGCGACCACTTTGCGTCGTTATGTTCCAAAAACTTTAGTCGGAAAAAGACAGCGGTACAATACAACAACAGTATATTTCTAACTTTGCGCACGCTAACCGTTTAATGTGCGCACGATGTATACTTACTGGTTGCAAAGTGGTTTCGCGATGAACACGTTACGTCAGCTGACTTACTCGTATGTATACACACGCGTCCTCTAAACTAGTTAGGTTTCATTCGTTTGGTTTTGCGTTACGTAGTGCTCTTCGCACAACTGTCAATCGTTAGAATATTGTAATAAGCGTGTTATTGAAATGTGCCCAAAATTACATTATTGGTGTTCTGTTACCCGTCTCGATTTCGCACGTAAAATTTGTCAGGATTTTTTTCCCCCTGAAAAAATGTGCAAGCAAAATCAAAAACGACCGGTGAATACGAATTACAACGCGACGACGATGAATCGCGTATTTAGAAAAAGACAAAAAAAAGTGTTTACAAGTGCGAACTGCCGCTGTAATGTATACAAACATGTTGTGCAGACTCGCTTGACGGTGCTCGTCTCGCTCGGATCATCGTCGTTCTATAGGTCCTTGCCGCGCGGGTTGTCGGAAACGTATGATATTTACATTTTTGCTACAAACATGTATGAAATCATCGTTAAGCATGATAAGTCAATGCATTCGTTCTGTTTACTATTCGCTATTGTCGAATTCCAATGTGTGCGGTTGACCGTGTACAAGCAGAAACGTAGCTATTTTTTCGAACTTAGAACGTTTACAAACATAACGTAATGAATTATGATTTTTTTTTTCCTTCCAGTGTTCGCTAAAATAATACATTTTATGATTCATGAACACGATATAAAATTTAAATCGAAATTCTTTACGAAAGGTACAAAAAAAAAAAATAATTAAAATTTTTTATGTCTGTTGCTGTCATACAATGGTTGAAAAACAAAAATGTTTAGTACACGGATGAGTAAACTTTAATTGCGTTCCAAACGTTTTGTTACGTATCATAATTGAACGTCTAAATAGGTATAAAAATATCGTCCGTGGCACGTAGTCAAAATATTTTCGGCTCGACACTAATGTAAACAGCGTACTAATGTACAACAATTGTCGTTATCAATTAATTGTTTTCACTTGCGGTCTGGAGTAAGGAGATTCTTCGTTAGATTAGTACATGTTTAAAAGAGGAAATGCTCGTTGCACGCGCGTACACATAAAATACATTCGATTTATTCTCCGAAAAGTATTGTCTTTCATCACACTTGTACCAAAATTTATTTTCTACATCATTTATTCGGTTTGGAACGGCCGTAGGTGAAATGTGTACTCAGGGCCGGCGTGAGGGTATAGCGACTCAGGCGTTCACCTAGGACGTCATTTTCAGGGGGGCACCGAAATTACTTTTTACCATTTTGCACATAAGTAATATTATTTTTTTTTTTTTTTACGTAAAATACCTATAAATTTGTATTGAAATATTGATAATATTTATAGTTATTTCGTTTAGCCGTTTATTAAAATAATATAAGTATATTTTAAATATATTTACTATAGTTTAGCATAAAATGTTTTATTGTTATGTTGCTATAATTCCCAAATTAATTTGTTACCGTTCAATCGAGATCGCGACGAGCCGCCGTGACTCGTGATTAAAAAATTAGACGATAAAAAATGATGTACAAGTTGAGCATAATAAATAATTTTCCTGTATTTTTGTTCACGAACAACATTTTTTTCTAAGTATAATGAAATTACGGGTTGTTGTATAGAAAAAGGCGCCAGTTGGCATTTCGGCCTCGGTCGTCATTTAGCCTTAGGCCGGCCCTGTGTGTACTGACAAGTGACGTTCCAGTTGCAACACCGACTCTGTAAATGTGCATCTGTTGCGTATCAACATTTTCTACAGATATCGATATACGAATATTGTACGTATACGATTAGAACTAATTATTCGATCTTTATCGCGTTCGTTAGATATTAAAACATCATTCAATCGGACGGCGTTTTATTTTATAATCGATTTCACATAGCTCATTGCGAATTAACTATTAATACATTTTGATTATACAATGTTATGTTTAAAGAATTTTTATCAACTGTAGGTGTCAGTTACTATCAACAAGCAATACGAAAACATGACTGTATACCAATTAAGAGAATCGAAAATCTTTTTATAACCTTATTCATTAGTTTTTATTGGACACCTTTAAGTAAAATATGCAGCGAGGGTAAAAAAAATGTCATTGAAATCATTTTGTATTTTGTAGATACACAATACAATATAATGATTGTCATTACATAACACTTTGTATTAATAATGATAATAAATATGTATATCTATAAAAATATTATGCTTAAAAATTTAGTTCGATTATTAATTAATAAAATCGGCGACATTTCAATCGGAAGTGAGGTTAAAATAATTATTATAATGCAATGCTGCGAGATCACAAAAAAAATGTATTTCATTACTTTAATTTTTTAAGAACTGCGAAATAACATTAACACATGTTTTGAGGGTCGAAACACTAAAAAATTTGTATTGATAATGCGATTTCATGCAAAAAATTTTTTTTTTTTTTTGAAACGTAAAATACTTCCTAAACCATTTTGCGTATGTTGTGCAAGATTTCATCTATTATAATAACATCGAGCGGCATATATATGAATACTAATATTCACTAGCGTGTACAAACATTTTGTTAAACAATAAATTGAATTTCGTACGTTTTGCATCAAACATTAATTTCATCATAATTTCAATCGTTCGTAAAACATTATTTTTTTCCGACAAATATATAAATATTAGGATATTGTTATCTAGTTAGTATTCATAAACATATTGTAGCTATTTCATCATTTCAGCTATCGCATTTAAACACTGCCTTCTATAAACACGCTTAAGTTATAAAATTTGATTACTAAGTCAAAAATATAAACTAGACGTTTTCCACTAGTATTTTTTGTTTAATAATTTATTTTATGTATTTTAATGTATAGTCATAGTTCATAAATTATGTTTAATTTTATTCATATTTTTCTATTTTTTTTTTTTTTTTTTTGACAATGGCGAAACGTGTTAATATGATTTCAGATACTGTAGTTTCTGTTACAATGTTCAGCTACAAGATGAACATTAGCGATATAGTCATTGGTATTATACTTTGTTGTTTTTATATTTTCGCTGCTGTAATTTACGTTGTCACGAGTCAGATTTGGAAAATTGCTATGAGTAATTATGCATTATAAATAATTAATTAGCTGTTATTACTATTCTAAAGATGCGCAATATCGTAAAATGTTAGCTCGTCATTGATTACAATTTAAACGTAGGTATATATTATTTTATTAATTATATAGAGAAAGGCATTTTATAGAACTTTATGCTGAGGACTTCTTCTAAATGTTTATTTTATTCGTATGACTTTTTAAAACAAATAATATATTGCAGTCTTTTAATATTTTTTAATTTGTTTAATTGTTAAAATAACTATCATAATGTAAAACATTTCAGGGGGAAAAAAAGAGATGACTTCTCAGTGTCTGAACTAATGCTTATTAGTATAATATATATATAATAATTAGTATAATATATTATATATTATATAATAAATATATTACTATGCAGATGCGAACGCAGAGGGTGGTTAGGGGTTCGAATCCCCCCCCCCCGAAATATACAAAACATGACCTGACCAACAAATTTAATATTTGTGTCAAATTTTTCATGATATTTGGGAATAAAATTTATAAATATATTATATAATAAATAATTAACTCCCCCCCTGAAAGATTTGCATGCGTTCTCCTTTGTTGCGATTTATTATAACGACCAATAATTTACTTCATATGAACTAATTTTAAATCAATCATGAATGTAATTGATTAATTATTTTAATTCATTTTTTAAAGTCATAATAATTTATTTATGTCATGGAACAGCAGTCACTATCACAACTTCGTTGACTTCAAAAATGGTAGAACACCAAGAACTTGGTATGAATTAACATTTTATTATTATAACAAAGTATTATGAATAATATTATAAATTTTAATAATAGGTCGATTAAATTCAATCCAAACTGGTATGAATTTTATATTGACAATGGGTACGTTTATTGCGTACAATGTCCCACGTGGTAGCTATTACCATTTTTCTGAATTTGATCATTATTGTTTGGTGATTTTATTGTATGCGGTTTTGACTTTGCCTATATTAGGTGTATTCGTGTTAGTATTTTTTTAATGATAAATATATTTGAATAATATGTAAATAATCTGTTTCCAGGGCTTTTCATATTAAGTATAGAGACTTCTTGACTGAGAAAACCCCAACGACAATCAACAATTCTATTTACACTATTAGTCGTTAATAGTTGATATAATCATAAATAAAATAAATTAATGTTTATTATTATTAAATTGAATTATACATTTAGAATATATTTAGGTAAGGATTTATTATTTACCTAATTGATTTGTTTTTATGATAATTCATCTTTATAATAATTACAAAAAGTTTAATGTCGCAATGAAAAGCATAAATACTTATTTTTTTAAATTTAAATGAATTGTTATTAACTTAATTTATATTATTAATAAAAATGTATACATAAATGAATTAAAATTTAATTTATAAAATTATAAAATTTTCTTAGAATTATAAAAAAAAAAAGCTTGTTAATTAGTATTATATCTCTATAGTTGATCTATTCGTGGATAAAAAAAAAAAACTAGAAGAGATATAAGTCAAGGTAATTATGGTTGAATAAAATCTATCATATATTATTTCCAAGCACTGAGTAGAGCACATTTGATTTCTCAGTACTCCAAGATTTCATATAGTTTTGTATTAAAAAAAAAAATATATTATAATTTCAGTTGATATATGTTATTATTCTTCCACCCATCGACCGAACTGCCGAATATCGATTTCGTTTCTATTATCAAATAGGTTTTTATAATTTTACAATATGTAGGTAGGTATATCAGTTTATAAAGTAAATTAGTCGATTATAAAATTATCACTATTCTTATCTGGTGTACTATTATTTATATTTTAAAAATGTTAATACTTTAATAAGTCTAAACGGATTTACACGGAAAGAGTTTCTCATTTCTCGTACCTACCATTTTACAATTCGAGCATCTTCCATACGATTATCGAATACAAGGTTTTTTGTTCGAGAGTCATATCATGATTATTTACACCATGATAATAACTCACGCGGTTTTCGAGAATGCATGGTGACTTTTGAAAGCGATAAGCTCTGCTTTTTTTGTTCACATGTATCGAGATTATTTGGATCGATAATTGGCTTTTAAAACTATCAATAAAGGTACATAGTTTTTTATATCCCTTGGGCGTTTATTTTTATCAAACATTCGAAACTTATATGAATCGATTCATGTCGATTATTATGATATATTCTTATTTTGTGGTTTTTTTAAATATATATCATAATTTAAACTTGTGCTTTTATATTTTACTTTTTAGATTGAGTAGTTAATTAATAAAATAAAAACGATGGCAAATTTAATCGTGTTTGATCGAGTGTTGTGATTAACTTTATAGAAATTTATCGCAGCCAAGAATGCCTATGAGGTACAAGCAACAAAAATGATAAAAAACGAGACATGTGCAATGTCAAAAAAAAAAAAAAAAAATTAATAATTCAATTTATTGTTTATGTAAGCAGTTGAATATTTTTGATTATTATGCTAAAAGTATTCAAAAAATGCGAAATTAAAGATTAGTAATGACTAAAATATGGATAATTTAACAATAATAATTTATTTCACATTTAGACCAACGAAAATTTTATTATAACTCAAAAAAAAATTTTGGACAAAACCTTTAAAATAGTAATTCAAGTAAAAAGCAATTAGAATATACAATACAAAAC